TGGCCCCTAGTCCGACTGCTGTTTCTGCCTCCTTAAACATCCTCTACAAGCTACCGTGACGCACCATGACACCAGCAAACCGAAATTGTAGAACAGGCAAGCCACATACAAACAAGAAAAGTAAGCGGGGTTAAGCCTGACACTAAAGTCAAGAAAAGCAGCTCAAGGGCTGGGGATAGGAAGTGAACATCGGTCACGACAGACAAGTAGCAAGATAAAGTGACAAGTTCAAACAAACAAACAAACAGCAGGGGGCGCGTCAGCGCAGAAGGATGAAATGGAAGGACGAAGATATAAACAACAATGTTAAACATTAATGCATGTAAGGAATGCATGACGCATTAAAACATTACTTATTTTTGTTACTTTGCAATGTAAATAAGATGGAAGCAGAAGAAAAGGCAAATATGGTGGTTGTGGGTTGGCTGGGTGGGTTGGCGGGGGGGGGGGTGGATGGGGCGATGACGAGGCAATAAGAACTGCATCAATGCGTCAACTACAGACAGTGACTTAACACTGAGTGCAGCTCACCTACTGCACCGAGTAATAAACAAATAGGCGGGTGGGGGTGGTGAGTGAGCTTGTGTGCGTGTGTGTATATTTGAAGGGTAGATGTGGCCTACACCTGGGACGGCAGGATGTACTGCCCTGAGAAAGGGCCGCGTGTCAACCCCCTAAACTATTCTTGTCGTGCGATCATGAAGCCTCCTATATATCGATTCAGGTCTGACAACTAAGAAACAAACAACCCCTAATCCTGGCAATCTGTTAGACTGATGGGTCAGTAGTTCGCAGCTATTCGCACCGAATAAAAGGGGAGGAGGGGACTAGCCGACCTCCCCACTATCTGCGTAGGATATCTCACCCCGATGAATGTCGAAGCATGGCTAGATTCGGTGGACCTGAGATGACAGGCAATTCCTCAACACTGCTGGGCTCGCCCAAAACGATCTGATAGGCCAGCTTGAGACACTGAACTGGAGTTCCATCCAAAGTGCGAATTTTCGAGCTCCACAAACGTGCAGACAGGTTTCTACTACTGCTGCTGCTGCTAGAACCAGAGTCGATAGCATTTCCTTCTTCCTCCTCCTCATCGAGTAGAGAAAATGGATCGGCCTGCGAGTCGGAGCGACGGCCTGGTCGAAGACAGACCACACGGCTGTCAGTTTGGCTTCCTGCAGGGGTCTCGAGAGACCAGCGTCCCCCACCATCTCGCGGATCGGGCATCCATCTGCAAAGGCCATCCCCGTCAAAGTTGCAGTCGGCAGAAGAGACCACCCGCCCGTGTGAATCTAGATAAGTACGGACAGCTGAGTGGCTGGGAAACCAACAGAGAAGTGCCGAAAGCAGCTAGCTAAGATGTCACCTAGCGCTAGGGTGAGGATGTCGAACCTGGTTGGCTGATGTCTTTTTGTGAACATGCACTCAGGCCACCTTACCCAGAGGAGTGGCGCATTAAGCTCAGTCTAGCGCTGATATTCATCGACGGTCTAGTGCTGTAGGCCAATTTAAGACACATCAGTGGGGCTACACCCATTCGGACCCTCGGACTCCACAGACGAGCAGAAAGTTCCGATTTCGTTGCACGTGGGATGTCCTCAAAGGGGTCATCAAAGTCTTCGGAGATGGCGCCTGAAGCGGGACGAAGGCAGAGTGCATGACCCGACTGCTCGGAATCGGATGACAAGTCGACGATACTCCATGCCGCGCCACTGTCACGGGGGTCGTCCTTCCAGCCGCAAAAGTTGCCCGACTCAAAGCTGCAGTCAATCACGCCCATAGTACCTGAACCGCCGCCGCCGCTGCCGCCTGTGATGGCGGTGGGCAACGGGCGGAGTTGCTGGTCTGCGCGCAAAACAAGAAGGAGGTAAGAGGAAACACGCAACAGGTGACTGAAACAGGCTGCCTCTTCTGCAGCCTCCTTCAAACACTTGACTGATGTGTCAAAACCACTTAACGCCTACTCTTCCTGGCTGGTGAAAGTCACGCTGGCAAGAAAACACTCGATTCTCACCCCGCTGAATGCCGCAATAAGGTGAGTTTATAGTCTACCCCTGTAGACGGCAGTCGAGACAACGGCGCAAAACGATAGACCAGCCGAAGGCACTGTGGACGCAGCGCTGGACCCGCTGAAGACTGTAGGCCAACTTGACCGCTCCAAAGACGGGCGGAAAAGGTGCGCGGAGATGAGCCCTGTGAAGCAGCGTCAAAGGATTCAAATCTATCTTCAAAATCTTCGGTTTCGGAATGGTAGAGCGTGGGCTCCACACAAGCCAGTGTCGACCAAGTCTCTTTACTGCTGGAGTCCAAATGCCACGCAGCCCCCACGTCACGCGGATCGATGTTCCAACCGCAGAGACCGCCCGCAAACGACACGTCTTCGAAGTTGCAATCAATCCGAGGGGGTCGGCGACTCCTAGATCTCTGCTCGGTCGGCCCTGGAAGATGAGGAAGGATTCAGACGTCAGAGGTCGGGTGGAGGGGTGGGGGTCGGGGGAAAGTGAGGCATGAAAACGCGCTCCGGTACGCATTGAGGCAAGGCCATTTGTGCAAATCGAAGGCAACTAAGGTATACGCGCTATCGTCTCAAGCCCGTGTTTCCTACCCAGAGGAATGACGAAGCAGAGCTATGGATGGACGCGCATCGGAGTGCAGCGGGGGCTGTCGTGCATCGATCAGGTAAGCCAGACGGATGCATTGAACGGGCAGCATCGGTTCTGTTGCCGTCTCCGAGTCAAGTGTCTCGTCTGGAAATTCGGCTGAATCGAAGCTGTCCAAACTGCCTTTGCCTTCGCCCATAACTGTGGCGCTCCAAATTCGTGCTGACAGGGTCGACTTCAGGCGTATACGGGCAGTTGAAGTGCGGTCCACACAAAGAGCCCCGTTGCCCGGCCAGACGAAATCCTCTCTTACCTTCCAGGTTGCTCTGGTGTCCCGGGGATCGGAAGCCCAGCTGCAAGCGTTGCCTGAATCGAAGGCACAGTCTAGCCCGTGAGATGCGACTCCTCCGGATGCTGTCAACAGTCACCATGAGAACCAATTAAAACGTGTATGAGAGAGGATGCATTGCCCAACGGACACGTAAAGACATAAAAAGCGGCCAAAAAAAACTAAAGAGCCCTATCTACAGACCACTAAGAGGGCCAGTAAGGAGACGAGTCAGAGATGGGGTTTGAGTACGCCCGATCAGAACCGTTGCCTCACCCCATGTGCCTACGCAAGACGGAGATTATCGGAAGCCCAGATCCACGGGCTGTTCGTTTCCGATCAGCGTTTGCGGCCGCTACGACTAGATACGTAAACTTGAGGCATCCGACCCGGTCACTGCCACGCAGTAGTGGACTGTAGAGACGACCCGTAAAGTCAGGCGGCGGTGAGGAAGCCGATGAAGGCGGATGCAACGTGGGTTTTAGACAGAGTTCCGGTGAAGAATGGATCTTCTGCTGACTGTGAGCTCGTCGTGCAGAGCTAGTCTGCCAGGAAGCCAACCAGTTGTTGGGATCGTTTGTCCATTCACATGAGTCAGTCTCAAATGTGCAATTGAGATTGGCGCCTGTAAGCGAAGCAGAGAGGGAGAGAGGTCAACCCCAGGGTGAATCTTCTGACAGAAAAAGGACTAGTTTTGGCCGTGCTGTCTATTCGGGCTAGTCCTTATTGCATTTCGATAACACCTAGGAAGGTTGGGGACAGCAGTATGCGCTCGAATTCACGAGATAATTTTTATGCGCTAGTACTCCATCTTTAAGTACAAAACTAAAAGGGTGAGTGGAGTGGCGAGAGCGGGCGAAACACACAATCGACTCCTATTCTCCCTGTTGACGTCTAACGAGGACAGGGGGAGGGGGGGGCGGAGAAGAACCTGTGATCTTTGTGGCAGAAACTTGAGAAGATAGATGTGGTCTAGGCTGGCGGTGTGTCGATGTTTGCGACGGTCCTTCTAATCACACATGTCCGGTGTAGGCCGTTTCGCTTGAAAGGGAAAACATTGAATTGCCCTGTCTTTGCCGACATACCGGTCTCTGCGTCGCTCCAATGAGGCTCCAAGGATATCCAGCGCGATAGCATGCGTGGCGACCGATGGTTTCTTCTATTTGTTCTCAACATCTTCCCCGTCCAGGACTTGTTTTCGTTCCACATGGAAGTTTATGCAGTTCCTAAAATCCACTTGACATAGCTCATACCGAACTGTACAGGTGGCGAAACATGCTATTTTGCACATGTACGACGTGCGGCGGCTGACCATTACGTATGCACGGTCTTAACCGACAAGAGGTGTTGGACTTCTAACCAGCAGGTCGCGAGATCGAGACCCAGGGGTTGCACACCTCGGGATTGGGTAGGGCTGGCTGACGACGGTAGCGAGCCAGAAATGGCCATCCCGGTCCGCCTCCCCTTTTGTCTTTGTCCGCAATGCTATTCTGCACATATACGATGTGGAATCAGTCTGTGTACTACAAGCAGGTATGGCGGTAGCCAAGGCCTCATGAAGATTCAGTGTCATGGGCCAGTGCATTCCCCATTTTGGCCTGCAGGGGGTGCAGAGACACCCAGGCGAATCACCGCCAGACAGTGTGACGGTAGTCACAGAAACTTGGTACGCAGCCGCCCATGTAAAAGTGCATGCGGAACCCCACGACTGCGTGCATAGTGGCGGCCAAACACAGACGCCTGACCGACTAATGGGTGTAGCCACCAAACTCGGTATAAACAGAGGATGGATGTGACAAGGCAGTCGCTCTTCGAGGACGGACTCCAGCGTGAGTTTGAGGCGCCACGAAAATACGTCTGTTTCCCGATGGCTGAGTAACCTTCTTGTGCCCAACGAATGCCTGAGATGCACAGCTTCACTTTTATTGCCTGCAAACGGTACGGCCGGGGTGGTGTGCTTGCTTGAAGAGAAGAAACTGGGGCGCACATTTCAACTATCAATAAGTTACGGCAGATCATATACACATAATGCGCAATTACGCCATCCTCCATCAAGGCATCAAAGCAGTGTGGAAGCGGCGCTAGTCGACTGGTCCACTCTGAGCCCCGACCCCTCCCGGCCACTGATTGGGGCATGACTGACTGACGATATAACCAACCCAGAAACGCCCATTCCAGTCTCCCTGGCTTTCGTCGGTTATAACTCACGCTAACTGCCGAGTTATGTTAAAATAGACTGACACCGGGCAAGCACATAGGCTCCGCCCCTCACCCTCTCTGTCGCTTCAGAAGAGCCAACGTTATTGGTTCAGCGTCAGACGGCATAGTATTCTCCCGAGACTGCAGCTGGAATGCGTATGAGAATCGCAAGCACTGAATAATAGGTCTTTCAAAGGGTACGGGCTCATCGTCATCGCTGGGAGCCGATAAGACAGGACGCCCAATGGACGGACTCCAAAGTCTGGCAGACAGCCTCTCCTTTGTGAGCCACTTTGGCTTGGTGAAGCAGGTGGCCATATTGGTGGTTGCTCCGGCTGCTCCTTGCAGTCCAACGGTGCTCCATCGGGCCTCGTCCCAGTCATTTGCATCCGAATGCCATCCACAGGGAGAGTCAAATGTGCAGTTAAGGTGAGCCGTCTCCACTGGAAATAGAAAATCGAAAATACGCCTGCAGTCAGCGTGGCCTAGACAATGTCGAAACACCAAGAAGATACTGGTGCTGACGGTGTCTAAAGCTTCTAGGGCTAGAAGGTGTCCACAGGAATTAACTTGTTGATGACTGCAGTGAAGCCTAAATGACCCTTCAACGTTCGACTTCAAATTCGCAGCTGGGTGACAGACGGACGGAAAATTCGTTGCAATGCTACTGCGAACGAATACCAATGTCAGCACAGGGACGAGTAATGAGAGTGAGATGGCTTCCTTGGGAGGCACATGGAAATTGACGTGTTCGGTCTGCGTCCACTGTCAACCCAGTTTCCGGACATGCCACCGCCTTCCCGCAGACTCTTCTGATACCCCGTCGACAGGCCCTGCCCCGGCGCGCTAACAAGAGGTGTGTGCGTTAGCGTACGCGTACGCATTCGTCAGCTGATAGCTAATTGGCGCACTACCAGCCAGCCAGTTGACGAGTAGGTGACTGGTGCGTCACGCTATTACGTGTGCCCGCGCGATTGGGAGGACGAAAATGACCAACTCGCGCGGTAGTCATGACCGCGCAGCAAACACACGAAAGGAGAGGGAGGAGGAGGGAAGCCGGTGCGTAAAGTTAAACACAAAAGGGATAAATTTCGAGGCGAGAAGGCACCCTTCTTGACGCTGCATCAGTGATAGACTGGCCGAGGACGCGGTATCAACGGAGACGTCGTCAGATGCCGCTCCCATGTGGAAGGCGTACTGGAGCGTCAGGCAACGCATGCCCAGTCTTGCTGGAATCTTGGGACTCCACAGACGGGCTTGTATCACGCTGGTGGAGGCTACCTCGTCCTCGTTACTTTCCATCTCTGAGAGCCAGGGGGTCCGCTTCTTCGCCAAAACCGGAGTTTGTAGTGCAGCTTGAAGACAGACCGAGGCAGACGGTGGACCACTTGGCATCGAGACGTTCTGTAGACTCCAGCGCTGACGCCAGTTATTCATATCATTCATCCAGTCACCCATGTCCTCGTCAAATGTCCACACGTGGAAGGGCAACGGCGGGCCTACAGCGAACAAGACTGATTTCTTTCAGCTGAATTTATCATGAATGGACTGGTCTGAGCGACATCATGACAGCATAAAATCGGCTCGTGGGATATCCTTCCAATTTTGACGGACGTATTATTCGTAAGAAGACGCCCAGCTACAGATCTTAAGGACATACGTGTACGTCTAAAATATGAAGATGTGAACGCTGTAGGAAAAAACTTCAACAGTATATATGCACCCTTCCTGACGATGAAGAAGCGACAACGTAGGAGCGGTCTGCGAGGCGGGAACCGTCAGGGAGGACTCCTTGCCCAGCTTCATCGAGTACTGTAGACTTAGACAGCGCATGCCGAGTCGAGCAGGAATTACGGGGCTCCAGAGGCGAGCTGTTATGGGGCCCGTGGTGGAGGAGGTCATGCCCTCATTACTTGCAATTTCGGAAAGCCAGGGCGTTCGTTTTTTTGAAGGAACCGCTGCCTGGAGGCAAATGCTTGGAGAAGTGGTTAAGTCCAACCGGGTCCAGCGCTGGCGCCAGTTATTGCCGTCGTTTGTCCAGTCGCCCATGTCCTCATCAAAGGTCCAAGCGTGGAAGGGTTTCACGGTGGAGCCTGTATCGGATAAGACGAGTGTTACTCATTCATCTGAGTCGGCGCACAGGGGGGAAGGGGAGGTGGGGCAGAGTGACGCAGGCGTGTCGGAAAAAAACCGGCGGTAAGTGTGAGACGACTGGCTTAGCATGTTAACTTGACCTGCCTACCCTTTTTGGCGTTTAAGGAGAGACAAGCTTAGACCATTAATTGGCGACCGGCGTTTAACCGCGGTAGAAGGCAGCAAGAAGGCGTAGGAAAGTCTAAGACAGGCTGGTAGAGGATCATTCGATTGAATCACAGGACTCCAGAGGCGAGAACTGGTCTCCGTTTGGTCAGCAATAGCACGCAGGCAAAGGGCGGGTCTAGACACCGCCGGGCCTGAGCTCGTGGGCGGGACCACATCGCGTTTCCACTGTGCTGTACCCCAGTCGTTATGATCCGGCAGCCAAAGGCATGGGGTTGGCGAGGAGGACGAGAACGAGCAGGAGAGTTTTTCGGTCGACCGACGGGACCCTGAATCCGCAACGGAAAGAAAACCGACCAGGTGTGAGTGTTATTGGCCCGCGAGAAGACTGGCACCCGTTAATAAAGTCCTAACCCTATACACTGAGGATCTACTTGTGGAGCCAATCTCTGCGCACTGAGGTAGTCAGCTAGCTGCTGCCGGTGTATGCTGTGGGGAAGGGTAGGAGGAGGTAATTAACCCAATAATCACCCCTCTTGACGCTGCAGCAAGGCGAGACTGATGTCAGCCGGATCTGCGGCTTCAACACCGAGATGCAGGGAGTAGCTAAAGGCCAAACAACGCATTCCCACATCGGCGGGAATTGGAGGACTCCAGAGACGGGCAGAAAGTGCATTCGCAGCGGAGGGCGAGCTGGGCTCCTGAATACGTCGACGAGCGGCAAGCCAGGGAGCCTGACTCCTAGTTGGTTGTGCGGGTGCTGTCCTGGCAAGGAGGCAGAGCGCAGGCGATGTGTCGCCGCTGGCAGGAGCCGCAAGAACGGTCCACTTTTGGCGCCAGTTGTTCGCATCATTGGTCCAGTCTCCCAAGTCCATCTCATTGAACGTCCATACGTGCAGCGGCCGGGGGATGTGCGGTGAGTGTGCCGGTGGCGGTTCTGTGTTCAGAAGGTCAAAAAGGTGTGCCGTCACTTTAAGGATGCGGAGCAGACGCGAATGACCAAAAAAGCCTATATCTACCCGCCAAGATTCTGTAGAGGTATATGTAGGTTTCGTTCATTTTCAGCGAGCTCTTAAAACACAGAGAATGTCCAGAGGGTTTAGGATACGACCGTCAGAGAGCTGAATGAAGGCGAAGAAAATGTCAACAGCAACGGGGTCCAAATTAACCGATCATCCGGCTGTGGAGGGAGTGGGCGTCGCACAGGACCGCCGAACCGACAGGTGTAGTTTTCCTCAGTGACGGTGGTGTCGCTAAATGAAACGCAGCCCAGGGCCGGGGGGGGAGCAAAGATGGATACATCTAGCTGACCTTGACAGTAGTGGCCAATTAGCGTCATTGGCAAATTAGGGTGGAGATAAACGTGCGACGAGCCGACAAGGTCTGGTAGTCGACGTAGTAGGCAAACTGCAGGCAAAGTGGGCTGAAAGCACTTGCTCGCAATTTGGAGGCGGTTTTCGAGAGAGTCTTTTGTTTGTTGATTGAAGCAGTCTCCTTTCTACGCGGTGCTGAGGGAGCCAACTGTGTGCGTCAACCATCCAACCACGACTATCCCCCACGAAGGCGCAGACGGTTAGACGCAGTGAGGACGCCGGGCGAAATAAGACGAGCAGTCACTGCAGATCGGTTCCACAAAAACTTTCAGTCAGTTATTTCAACTATGCTAGAAGGAAGACACGAGACCTATTCGAACTGAACCAAACAAGTGTCCCTTTTGCTGTACTGAAGCGAATGGAAACCAGGCATAAAATGGGTAGAACACTTAAGCACCCTTCTTGGCGCTGAAGCAGGGCCAGGCTGATGGATTTTTCTTCGGTAACTGTTGAACCTGCCGGGCTGTGTTGTCCAAGGTGGACGTGGTAGGCTAGCTGGAGGCATTTGAGTCCCAGTTCGGCAGGTATTGAGGGGCTCCAGAAACGAGCCTGGATGGTGCCACCAGGGGGCAGCCCGGAAGTCTTGGGTTTTTTCATCCCACTGATCGGGATCCAGGAAGAGGAGGCTTCCTGCTGTGGAATCCTTCTCGGAGCCTCAATAGCAGTGGTTAGACAAAGGGCTGGAAGCGTGTGCGTCCAGACACGAGGACTCCAGGCGGCTGTCTTCACAATGGTCCATCGCTGTCTCCAGTTGTTGAAGTCATTTATCCACCCGCAGGTGTCCGCGTTGTCAAAACGGCACACGGCCAGGGGAGCCGGATCAGTGACCGCTGCAGGGACGGCAATAAAACATAGCAGGCGTGCGCGGTGAGGTCGAGCAGGTCTATCTCACAGAGGTACAGCAAGCATACAGGGGGAGACCTGTGTGAACTAACAATGTACTGTTTACACTAGCAGACAGGTGGGTAGACGCGCAGAGAGTACAAATGGATCTGCCAGAACACATATCAGCACATACAGGGCACCGAACAGGCAAGATGTGAGACTGAAAGTCGAGAGGCGGCCGTGGACAAACTGACGGACAAAACACCTTAGACCGGCGACATCGCGACCGAGAGCTGTGAGAGCCAGAAAGCAACGCGCCAACGAAAGCGGTCACAACACCGATAAGGCGTTCCAAAGGGGTTAAAACAAACCAAGAGGGTCGCACATGGAAACTACTACGCTGTCATGTCGGCGATAAGTGGGAGGTACGCGCTGCAGACGGCGGCGGGCTCACGAATGAAGCGGAGTGTTCAAGTTTCAGGTGTATTTATGAGAACGGAGGCGAGAGACTGGTCGAGCTTCCAAAATCGTGCAGGAGTCCATTGTCAGAGATGGCAGCAGCAACAGAAGAAGCAAAAGTTGTAGGCAGGTATTTGCCATCAACGAGCAGGTCTGGAGGAGACTGCATAGGGCTCTGCATGCCGGCACCAGATTGATATATCGACTGATTGAGTTGTCATCTGAGGCCCAGACTTCGATCGATTCTTGGATTATCTTGCTTTCGTATGGGCAATCACCTTGGCGGTTGTGAAGTTGAACTCGTGACCCGTTTCGAAGGTGTGAACAGTCACTTGCGATAATTTGTTCCCACGCCGCACGGCTAGCCTAGGTTCGTGTGTGCGCGATCCGAACATGCGTTGTCTGACCTGTATACTTACAAGGACAGTTCACGCATAACAGGTTCGCACTTTCCCGGCTTAAACCGCTGAACTGGGGCCAGAGTCTAAACCGAAATACAAACTTCATCACGTTCAAACTACGATTCCAACCTACTGTATGAGGACGGCAACCGACAACGACAACGGTTGATACTTCGGTCTACAGCGCTTTTCGGATCCAGGAACATCAAAGTGCTGGCCGCGTTGTCGGGTGTGGGAGGGAGGATAAATCTGGTTATTTGCTAGTCAGTAATGCATTAAACACTATCGAATGTGTGCGAAGACAAGGCAGGACAGAAAGGCACCCTTCTTGACGCTGAAGGAGGCTGAGCGTGATGTTGCCTCCAGTACGACCGGCGCCTGGGTGGATGAAGTAGACGAACTTGAGGCAGCGCAGTCCTAACTCGGCGGGCAAAGGGGGACTCCAGAGGCGGGCCTGTAGGTCCTGAGACACGGGTTTGGGTTGCTTGCGAGAGGAAAACGAGGGGAGCCAGGAGAGGGCATCGCGGTTCTCCACCGGGGCCCCCGCTTTGGCCAGCAGACAGAGAGCAGGAAAGGTGCTGGCATCGTCGCCCACAGAGGTGCTGAAGGGGCGTTTCCTAATATCCCAGCGGTGCTTCCAATTGTTGGCGTCATTTGTCCAACCACAGGTATGTTCCTCAAATCCGCAGACTGGTAAAGAGTTCGGCGTCCGTCCCGCTAGGCGTGGGCGAGAATAGAGGAAACAGACGAGTGGTTTCGGACTGTAGGCGCGAGCGAAAACAACAAGGG